CTAGGAAAAATTGCACATCTTTCGGTTTGACCGGTTCCGGAAATGGCTCACATAAACTAAAAAATACTGAGTTAAGATCTGCGCCAAAATGCGTTTCTTTTTCACATTGAGAAGCTTTAAAATTTTAGCTGCATGAAAAATAGATGGTCAAAGGAACACACGAATTATGCGAAAATAGTGCTTAATAAACAACAAGGACGTCTCGGGGGAGCCGGAGTCTTGCCAAGTGCTTCTGTTGGTAAATTGCTGAACTACTAGTCTTTTCAGAAAACGAAACGGATATCAGAGTATTCAGCGAGCTGGCCATCAAGCGATTATACCTTATATTTGATACTTAAAACGGTTATTAATCAACTAAGTATTAGAAGTAGCACGTCTTTCCAACGAGTCGGTAGCTTTCTAATTGTTCTTTTAGCTTAGGGCGCTATTTATCGACTTTTCGTTTAGTCTGTCTGTTGTCTGTCATTCTTGTCACATGAGTGGATCAGCTTTTTCCCTAGCAAATACTTCCTGTTCTCCTTCAAAGCTGGACATGATCAAAACAATGCTTAATTTTCTGTAATCTGCTACTACTTAACATTTTCCTCTCCACTGACCGCTCTGTCACTGCTAGTTTGTTTTTTTCTGCGAGAATGATATTTCTGTTTCACATTCGCAAAGTAATTTGAGGAGGTCGATGGTATTGAAAAATTCTGCCTTTATGACCACCGATCAATGTCACTGGAAAAGTTACCAGCTGCACTGTTAAAGAACCATATCATAATTTTATAATTCTTCCTGTTAATTTAGTTGTATTCAAGAAATTTACTACCCTCTACCCTCTTCCATTTCATCACAGAACCTTTGCGGCCCGTACTGCCTTTTACTTCAAGAAACTTACTTGTATACTTTCACCAGCAACTCTCGACCAACATTTGTATAAGTCAACCGTATAGTATCGGTCATGCCTATCCTGATAGCTTCTTCACAGTCTGCATCCACCGTACGCAATACATATTCCATATTTCGAGTATAATCTGCAGCTCTTAATAATTTGAGTTCAAACGAACAAATTTTATTCTCGAAATCTAGTTTACATTTCAAGCTTTAAAGAAGCTAAAGTCACTTGTTTGTTGACAAAAGCAATAGCTATTTTGGATTGCAGTTACACGGATGGCAGTGGACAGCTTCTTCTTCGGACAATTGCTTGAAGTTAGCTTGATTCTCTAGCTTACCAGCGTGTAACGAAAAAGAAGTTCCTCTACTGACGATCTTGAAAATTTGAGGGTGTGATTGATCAGCCAAGCATCCGCCATCTGATCAGCGGATACGAGGTAGAATTGGCCATTAAGACAGCAGTGTTGCATTAGTGTTGCATAAGGGTTGTACAGGAGTCGTCGCTGGAGGAAGCCACAGCACGGCCATATCAATAGGCGCCATGTTTGGTGTTTTCAATATGCTGGTTAGTTTATGAGGTTACTGAGGATTGTGGGAATGCCCTCTATTATTGGTATCAGTGATAATAATAATAATAGTAATAATAGTAATAAAGATAAAAATTTCTGGTTAAATAAGTATTTTTTGGTTTACCAAGTCTAACACATGCAGTGTGCACGGTGTATTATGCTCAGTACTACCATCGTCCCCTCCTTAGAAAACTACAGAGTATTTCAGATGCCTTTAAGAAGGCTTGCAAATCATAATGAAACACAATGTTAAATCCAAAATTTCTCTAAATAAGGGATCGACTCGTTTTATGTACTTCCAAGTTACTGAAAAACTGTGTCACCGAATCATGCATAAAATAATTTCTCGTACTAAGCAAATAAAAAGAAATGTGGAGCAAGGCGACATTTGTTTGCCGTCGTTCGCCAAAAGCTTTTACTAAAATACTTAAAACAGTATCCGTAAGAAATTGAAACAATAGAGGGAATTAGTATCAACAGCGAAATGTTCCAAATGCATTATTTTAAAGGCTTTCTTTGCCTCCAGAACAACACGCTAAATAACAGATTCCCTACCGTAATAGTCGAGTCTCGGCTGAACCACACCGGATGATGATATCGCCGCAATCGTAATATCCTCGTTCTTTTCGCGAAACCAAGCAGCCAGTGCACCTTAAAGTCTTACAATTATTTTTGCGCGTCGATTTGCGTTCGTCTTTATTCCACAAGCAAATTAAAGGCAAGAGAATAAAGGAAAATTTTTTTTTTTTGTTGGAGATCGTATATTATGAGAAAGTGGTGCCCAGGGAAAAGTAAACGATCAATTGGACGCTTCAAACATGCATTTGTTACTCAGTGGAAGTATGCAACATCGGGCTTATTGCTACACGCGGCAGTAAGAGCATCATAGCAGCATTACTAATTAAAATGGGATCTCAACGTCAACTGTCCGAACTGTTTTGGTGTTTTTGTTAAAGAAACAAAAATGCAGAAATTGGATAAGAAATAAAATAAGTGAAGTCGATGGCCGGTAAAATTTGGATCTAGGGCAGTTTTATGTTGTGCAACTCAGAAAAGAATAATAACAGACAGGAGCTTAACTGTTGAAGAGCGAAACAGTTGAAAACAAAAAACTGAAATTACTAACAAACTTATTCAAAATAGCAAGATAGCTCGGATTTGTTTAAATACTAATGGAATACTGATCTTAGAGATGTTGCTGGAGTGCAGGAAACAGCTGTGCCAGGCCCTTCCACCTTGGTCTTCATAAGTGATACAAAGAGAGGTTAAATTAATAATAATGTAGAGTTTGGCCAAAGCATAACCTATGCATCCGTTTTTTTTGTCGAGAGTAAATAGACGTCAATTTAAACAAAGCGCAGTTCGTGCATCCTCTTTTGTTGTGGTTCGTTTGCTTGGAATTTTAGTTGAGTTTAATTAATTACCTGGATAAGACCCGCCGAAGAGCACCCAGCGTGGATTCTTGAATTTTGAAAAATATAATTTATTCATTTCCATGATGAAGTTTCTCAGATCAGCCAGGGCTTGCTGTACAGTAAAGTACTGGTAGCTCGCTGTCGAAGTATCACTGAATGTTTTTAAATTAGAAATCACATTTTTCGCGAGATTTGTAAAGAAAGCTGCATTAAAATTAGGTTTAAACTACCTGAAAACAAGGAAGGAAACTCATTTGATGTGATTTTTATTGTAAAAGATCAAGCAATGTGGAAAGTAACTAAGATGGACGAAAAAGGGATGCTGTATGCAGAAGAAAAATCCTCAAAAATGAGGGACAAAAAGGAAGAAAGTGGGAAACGAATAAAAAAGTAACAAAAGAAAAAAACCAGAAGAAATTACGCAAAGCTGACGACATACCATTAATATGGTACTGCGACACCGAATTCCCTGGATGTTTTGAAAATCTTGTTATACAAAAGAATAAAATTCATAGATTTCAAATTTCTAGTAATTTCGGATTTGAATTTACAAAATTAACCTGAATTTATACTGAAGATCAAGAGGCACTAGACGAGAGACCAAAATCGTTTGCTTTTCTTAAATTATTTGTGGTTTATAATCGGATATAAGTTTCATCTTGATGGCTGTTACATCATTAGTTGTAAAATTAACTTGAACTGGATTCCGGTTGACCATCTAAAATGATCAGAGTGTCGCATTTGATTTCGACTTGCTTTTGTTAAGGGATTTAATGAGTCAATATTTCGAGATTTCTCGCCTGGTTCCTCAGTTTTCGAGTTGTCAAATTAATGCGCGTTTGTACTTGTTTTCGTTATTGTAGGTGCTGAGCATTGGCGGAACCAAGGGCCGGCAGATGGGGCGTGGGATGGGTGTTTCGCTCCACTCGCGAGGCAGGTAACAGTTATTTTACTGTAGAAAACTCTCTTCGATATCCACTGTCCCCTTCCCAAGAGTTCCACTTTCTTCCTCCCCCCTCCCCCCTCCTCCCGCTCATCACCGCAGTTTGGGGGGGAACAGCGAGCGGGGGCCGAAGTAGTGAAACTTTCGATGTAGTGATGAGCAAATCGCTTAAATCGCCCCCACCCCCAGAAAGCCGTCTTGTATTCGCCTATGCAAAGCGCTGAGAGAGATTTAAGCCGACTTGAGGTTGTGGCCTCCTTTGTGATTGGACTGCGTTTGAGCTTCCCATCTTTCACGCTCTGCATTTTAAGCTGCTTTTACTCATACTGGCACAGACACATACGTATAGAAAGGCAAGGGCTTGCGTGATTAGCGAATTGAAATACTCGGACAGACGAATACACGCACACACATACATACATCCACACACACTGATAGGGTCGTTGCAATATGCGTTTTTGCTGCCTGTTGCAG